GTGCAGACCAGCTTTAATTGTGGACAAATTGAAATTCAAACTTCAGTCAGACCATATTCAATTGTATAAATATGCATGAAACCAAATGCAATGCTACTAATCTGCTGAAACAATGAATGCAAACCTGAAGGTCTGAGGGTTCCCCAGATAAAAAATACTTGGCAGAAAAGTCTAAACCTTGTTCCCAAAAACCTTTTTTTCTCTTTACGCTTCCAGAAATTCTTTATATAAACTATTCACATAAGTAATGTCCAGACTGAGGCTGCAAGCACTGTTCAAAAACCAAAAAATAAACAACACTGGAAACTCCTGAGCTAAACAGTCTTTAAAGTTTCTCTTTCACTTTACAGCTTTTTCTTTGGCTTCCCTTTCTTTTTCTTTGCAGGGTTAGCAACAATTCTCTTCACCTGGAGCGGCTGCAGAGTGCAGGAGGGAGACTCTGACACCTCCTCAGATTCACTTTCCAGTTTCCTTTTTTGTCCCCTTCTTTCACCACCTTCCTCCTCCTCCATGGCAACAGGTTCTTCAGGCTTAGCACCTTGCAGCCATGCCATGTCCAATGTAGGCACTCTGGGCTTAATGGCATCGACAGTGTCGGTAAACACCCCATCGTCACTGGAGGAGCACCGTCTGAACCCCAGGGCGAGCACGCTTTTCAGCCCCAGTGGCTCCGACACACTCTGGCTCAGGCGAGGTACCTGGCAGGCCGGCACTCCTCTGGTGGTGCTCAGAGCGATCAGGTGATTAGTCGTGTGTTTCGGTTTGACAGACTTGCACACGAGCAGCAGTCTGAGTTCGTTTCTCTCCAGAGCCTTGGTCACCTCGTTGATGCCGATGGCCAGCTGCCGTCTGGCTGCCACATCTGTCCAGCCGTTTTTGGAGGAATCGCTCACCTGGGGAACAGGTTGTGGTGCGACATCAGGTTTTTTGCCTTTCTTTTTCCTCCATGGGCGAAACACTTTCACTTCTTTTTTCTCCAGACCCATTGAGATCAACTTATCCTTCAGAGTTTTCAGGATGAAGTGCATGTCCTCTTGGGGGAGCGGGCTCCATTTTGAGGCAAAGGGTGAGGTGAAGGAGGTCTTGGCTGGAGTCTGCTTTTTGATTTCCTTTTTAGTCGGCTTTCCGGGAGCTGCCATGACTGTTTGGAGCATAAAACAACCGACACTGTAACAAAAGAGAGAAAAACTGCTTTAGAGTCTGGCAACCAATCACTGGATACTTTATTAAGTACACCCGTTCACCTGACTGGTAATGAAGGCAATCAGATGAGTTCCCTGTACTTAACCTCCACAATCACCAGATCTCAATCAGAGAGAGCACCTTTATGATCTGGTGGAACAGGAGAGTCACATCGTGTATGTGCAGCCACAAATGTAATGCTGTCATGTCAACATGGGTCACATGTTGATCCCCCAAGAATCTTTCATGAAGAAATAAAGCAGTTCTTAAGGCAAATGGGGGTCCAACCCAGCACAAGGAAGATGTATGAACTGGCCAGTAAATGTAAATAATTATTGATGTTAAATTAAAGCACAGAAATGCCAAAGATGAGTTAAACAGCTTACTCGCATATAAAAAACGCATACCGAAATCTTTTTTATTTTCTTGTTTGTTTAAAAGGTAAAAAAGTAAAAGCAGTAAAGAGTAAACACGACTAAGAGGAATAAAGTACATTTTAAGATGAGTGAATAAAATAGAAAAAACAAGAGCACATTTGTTAATTTTTTTTATCCATAAGTCAGACTAAACAAACAAACAACGCCATTATACACTAATACGGTTAGTAACGTTTTTATTTCGCATTTCTTTAACCCACATGGAAATGTCGTTAAATTTCGGATCTTCTTCGGCTCTAATAAAAAACTTTTCGCTTCTGCAGAAGTGTTAAAAACAAACACAGCCGCCGTTACCTGTAGTTAAAGCAG